AATATGGCTACTGCTGGATGGTCAACAGTTACAAAAGAAAACACCAACTTTGCTCGATTGTGTAAATTACTCATCGATGGAGGAACTCATGCCCTTAGAGTGATTTTTGATGCCAAACATCCACCTCACGATCTAAGGAAACATTTGATGGACAGCAGGATTCATAACATCTTAAAGAATTTGAGGGCTAAAAGACATCTACGACCAGAGCAGTGGAACAGACTGTATCCAAGCGTAGGAATCGCAACATCTGCAGGATTTGACATAACTCTTTTAAGTTTGCTGCTGCGCAATATCTGCAACTTGCCAACACCTGCCAATGGATGGAACGAAGAGCCTGCTACAGGAAGTGTTAACGTGGAAGACGATGTAGTAAGGTTGAGATTATATCGTAACAAACTGGGCCACATCTCTGAGCCAGCTCTATCAGACGCTGATTTCAACAAGTACTGGAACGACATTGAAACTGTTTTGTTAAGGCATGGTGTAAACAAGACAGCCATTGATAGTCTTAAGACACAATCCTTTGAACCAGAAGATAAAAACTACTACATCAAATGCTTAAAAGAATGGATCGCTGATGAGGCTGATAGAGTAATCCATGAAGTAAAGGAATCAGTAACGGAATCAGAAAAGAGATTGTTGGAAAAAGTTGATAACGTAGAGCAGAAGGTAGACCAACTAAGTCTAGAGCGACCTTCAAGTCGACCCGCAAAATCTAGAGGTATGATGATTTTATGATAATAGAGTAACGGCTATAACTCTCTGACCAGGCAAAATAAAACAAAACCAAACCAAACAATCCAACAAATAAACAAAGAAAATGAACGTTAGTTTGGACATCGAGTGATTTAGATAATTTCTTGCACTTTTCGGTCTAACCTTTTAATATCTTGTAATGGGTTCATACATCGATAATTTATAAGATATAACTATAAACTATAACGAACTTTACAACGAGGATCGTAAAGAAGATCATAAAGGAAAAGAAAAAGTCAAAAAAAGTCTCTTTTCACTCATTACGCTGTGTGTCGAGTATGCACTTATCCTGACTTATATATACTCTCTGTCTAGTCTCAAGGGAATAACTACGTAATGTTCTTTTCAAACTTCATTCTTTAAAGTTCTGTGGGCATACGCCGTTTTAACACAGTCAACACCTTCGCGCACGCATTTCTTATTCGCCTTTTGTCTTTTTTTTTTTTTTTGCACTTTCAATGTTGCTCGCCAACCCCATCTACTGAGAACCAGTCATTCTACAAATGGTATAGTTATATATCCTTTTTTTCAGATGCGGAACTTTACTTCAAAAAACTCTATAGGAAGCGATAACAAATAACCCATAAATTTTCAAATAACAATATTAATAAGCAAAAAAATAGAAAAACAGACAAAGAAAAAAGAACGAAAATACATAGAACGTGAGAAATAAATCACGACCGAGTTATGTATTTTTATTTACCATGGCTCATGACAGGAGCCCATTGCTCCTGCTCATGATTAATTTAGCCTGAGTTCATCCAGCGTTTACCCGTAAGTTTTGAAATTAAACCGGATGTACGCAGGCTAGATTAATCAGAAATCAAGTGAAATTTTAGTAAAAAATTGAAGTTAAAAATGAATTTCATCTTCTGGAGTAATTACTAAACCGACGTTTATAGATAAATTGCGTACTCTGCCACAAACACTAAAAACTGTGCTACATAAATACTACTAAATAGTACTGCTAAATTTTGCTAGTTCTTTTCTTTTCTATTGTTTCATTAACACTATTTTGTAGTAACTGGATAGTGGAAAGTGATGCACACATTTAATGTTTGTACTCATTAGACCATCTAGAGAAGACACTGTAAATATAGTATAGNTGTCTAGGTAAACATATTAACTATGAATACAGACTAAGAATGGTGTCATTGCGATGCCTGCACGAGTTTGGTCAAGACAAACGCTTGACAAGACAAGAACTAAATACAAACCGTGACTACAGATACTGGAATCGTGATGGGGAGATTGTATTACCTGTTGGTGTAACCGACACGGACTGTGATGCAATCTCTATGTTAGTAGAATCCACTGCTACATCAATATCATCACCACCACACACATTGTACATTGGTTGGTCACCGATAACCATTACTGGGATAAAGAGATTGATGTCATCACTCATTACAAACTGTTCAATAACTACACTGGAGCTGGTGCGGTGTAATTTGAATGATGAACACGTAAAGTGTTTGTGTAAAGATTTACAAAAGACAAAAATAACCTGGCTAGACCTGGTGGATAATAAGATAACTGATGGTGGAGTGAATGACATCATGGTACACTTAGCCAGTAATCTCACCTATCTAAACCTGTTTGGTAATAAGAACATATCTGCTGAATGTAAAAAGAAAACTAGACAATTCTGTAGGGATAAATATCCTGGTCTTAGGTTAGACATATAGTAGATAATTCAATGTTTGACTTTTGTAGAGTTGTAGTGATACAAGTAAACCAAACACAACAAAAATCACATCAAACTATTTATTCATCCTTTCTTAGTTTTCTACAATTCCTTACATATTCTTTTGTAAAAATATAAGCTTATATCAAAATGAACATTTTATAAATTTGTATGATAGTTTTTGACATTTTGTCGTTGATAGGATTTTTTCAGTTTCAGTAAAGCTGAAGTTGTACAAATGAGAGGACATGAAAAACTTTATCAAGAGTTTTTCTCTTGGGTTTAGAAAACTTGAATAAAAATCTTAATGTAATTTTAATACATTGTACATAGTTGTAGACTAATATAACTCAATGATATAGTAAAAATACAATTTTTTTTTTCTAGTTTGGTATTTCTTAGCTTTGAAATAAAATTGAATACGGATTTCATGTCTTTTTTCTTTTCTGGGCCCAAAACAACCAAAGTTTGGTTAAGCTATGACAGAAATATTACATCTTTTTTATGTTAATTGAAAATTTTGTATTTGAAATTGATTTTGCTGTTGTTTTTTGAATAAAACATGAAAATAGTTGATATTGTGACAAAGGTGCATTCAATTTGTGAAATCAGTTAACTTACTTTTGAAGCAAACTTTGAAATTTTACACGAAGTAGATTTTCCCGGTTTCAGAACTATTAAAAAAATCCCGTAAATTCCGTGTTCTGAGCAATGGCTAATTTATATTCAACGGTAAAATCTAAAAACTGAACTGAAAACTGGACTGTTTTCAGACCTTTTCAGTTTCAGAAAATTTTGCAAAAACGGCTTAAATAAACTTAAGTTATGTGTTGAACAAAAGAATTACAAAGATTGATTACTTGATTGTCAACAAACTACATGTAAATATGGTGATATTTTAGTGGTATTTTGATACCAAACCTTGGTTATCTGGTCTTGCATGTTAACCTTGACAGTCAACCTAGAAAGGTGAAAAGCAATCACTCTTTAAAACAATGTTTTTAACTAAAAGTCTTCAATACGGACTAAACTAAGAAATGCCAAAATCATTTACCGTTTGTCAAGGTATTTTTGTAGCATGATATCTTCACAATTTAAGTGTAAGTTGAGCATAAAATATCCAACAAAAGGACAAGCAAACCAAGAAAACTGTGACGACCTCAAACTCACAAACCAAACTGACGCTCGCGCACGAGTCAMACAACAGATAAAGGCGGGAAAATAATACTCGATGCTGATTGGACAGATTTTCTTCCTAAACCTGATATTGAAAACACGTATGACCGGTTTAGCAGCACAGGGAGCCCAATCAATTACTTTGAATSTAWCAAATTCTTTGAAATAAAGTTTTGAGAAATGGAATGTTACTGTATTTAAAATTTTATTTAGAGTGTGTGAACTAAGAAGGAA